AGCAGACGAGTACCTTAGCCACTCAACCAATACAGTGAGCAGTGTCGGTCGAGTTCAATAACGAGCACATATAAATGTGAATATAGCCTTTTCTGAGTGAGTCATTATGATAATATGCTGTTTTTTTGTGTGTGCCCTTACAAAGCCTTGTTATCTTTTCACACGTGTGTTAGCTTTCAATGTGTGCATTTTATAGGCTAACGTGTGTAATTCCGACCTTGTAATCGTGAACGCATGGTTGTGTGTGGGTGTGCGTTTGCGCTTGCATGTGTGTCTGTTTGTGTATGTGTGCGCTCGTATGAGTTTGTGTGTGCTCCTGCATGTGCATCTGTTTCTGTGTGCGCACGTATGTGCTTGTGCACGCCTGTCTTTGCTGCAATCGGGTATGCCAGTATAGATGCGCCGGCGCGCGTGTGAGCTTATGGTGTGTTTATGCGTGTGAGTACGTGTATTGGAATATCTGCATTCACGCATCTGTGTACGTGCGCGCACGCACGTATACATACCTTTGCATATGGCTGCGTGTGCGTTCACCCCGCCGCGGTGGTTTAGTGGCTAAGGTACTCGGCTGCTGACCCGCTGGTCGCGGGTTCAAATCCCGGCTGCGGCGGCTGCATTTCCGATGGAGGCGAAAATTATGTAGGCCCGTGTACTCAGATTTGGGTGCACGTTAAAGAACCCCAGGTGGTCCAAATTTCCTGAGTCCCTCCACTACGGCATTTCTCATAATCATATGGTGTTTTTGGGACGTTAAACCCCATAAATCTAATCTCTGCGTGTGCGTTCGTTTGTGTGTAAGTATGCGCGCGTTCGTATGGGCGTGAGCACCTGTATGCGCGTGTGCTTGTATTCGCGCACTAGCTTGCGCGTGAGTGTGCACAAGTAATTTTTGTGTGTATATATGCCCCAGGGTGGGCGTGTGTTTGTGGAATTCTAAACTGAAAGTATAAGGTACCATAGTATGAGAAGCTTTTGTATGAGCAGTCAGGTTTTTTCCCTTCTTTTTAGAAAACTGATCTAAATAGCAGGGGTAATAGATTGCAATGCCGCATCGTTTCATTGGGACGGAATATAGGCACGCGCATAAATACCACTATGGCTTTTTGGTACCACGACAGGACGTTTTCACGTCAGTGTTCGTAAGAAAGGGCGTCGGGTCCACTTATTTCAATAAGTTCATTCAGTAAACCACCACGACATTTTAGGCTACCTTTTTGAGCTCATCAGGACAACATTATATGAAAAAAAGGTAGTGCTAATCTTCTTCACTCACATTATAGCGCTTAAGACGCTTAGCCATTGCGGACAGCTGAACCCTACACGAAGAAAACCGCTCAGTTGCTAGCTGGTACTCCTCTTTTTTTTTTTCAAGTGCTTCCGCTCCTATTTATGGAGGCGCTTTAAAGATATATCCAGCACAGTGTTTTTTCTGAAGCCTATTTTTATCCAGGTCGTTTTTTTTTTCAAGTGATAGAACCTCGCATAACGCGTCAAGGAGCCAAATAAAGCGCGCGCATTGATTCTAATGCGTCTACAGCGAACTAGGGGAGCGTCTCTCATAATCATATAGTGGTTTTGGGACGTTAAACCCCACAAATCAATGAATCAGCGAACCAGGGGAGGGTTTAGCGCCGCGCCAGCCAGGAGAGGGTAAACATCTGCGGATAATCGAGGAAAAAAATTGGCCCCGTATTTGAATGTAATCGGAAAACGTCGTCTAAAGACGATAGTCTTGCATCTGGAGAGATGGAACAAAACGTTTATTTGATGTTCTGCGCAAGAAAATTGGTGAATGGCATTCTGTAGGCGCTTCGTAAGAGTGCCTCGAGCGCGCAGCGGAAGCGAACGAGCGCATCAAGTCACGTCACACGTGAGACATGTGCGCTATCTGGCAGCTATCTTAGCAAAAAACGCGCGGCTCTGAGAAGGGCCTGCGCGCCCGTCTCAAAGGGGATGCGGGGTAGAACGCAAGGAGACGGGTAGGTGCCACCACCGCATCATCTTAGTAAAGCGTTGGAAACGCTTCCTTTTTCGTGCAAGCGTTACATGGTGAGCGCCGCTTGATAAACGCTAGGGTCCTTAGAATATCGTATGTATGTCTTTTCTAATAAAAGACGCACATACAGAATATATACGTGTTGTTATGGTGCCTCAGATATGCGCGATAATTGCTTTTTAATTGACAATCGCAAAAGTATGAATGCTGAATCTTGAGCAACATTGGTAAGCGCTGCGAATGGCGTTCGCCGTTAGGGATATCCGCTGGTGCCGTTTAAAGTGTCCGGTACCGCTAACGATGGACAAGCAGTTAATGGGATATACATACAGACCAAAATTTCAGCGTCGAAGGTCCCCAAGAAAGAATATCGTGTTTAAAAAACACACGCGCGTAGGAGAGTGACACTGCTTTCAAACGTTTCAAACTGTAGGGATTTTACCCGCGCGGCGTTGTAGCCGCAGACAAGAAGAGAGCGGTTACGTGACGATTAGGGGGTGGGGCTGAAGCACGGCGCGTAGATGTAAGCACCGCGAAACTCCCCCGAAGGGTACACATTCGCCCCGACATCGGCTTGTATACAGCTGGCAGCACCGTCGCCCTGCTATTGTGCATAGGTCGCTGGCGGCGCTCATACAAATGTACGCAGTGGCGCTTTTTGTCAGCAGTGTTGACTGCAGCCTACTCATACTATCTATGTCGTCCATTGCTGGACGGATGCACGAGGTTTACCGAACGTTACTATTTCTTGTGACAGAAATGCAATTTGCTATTGAGAGTTGTGTCCTCGCTTGGCGACTGTTTGCGTTTTCGCACTGTGTCTTGTTTATTGCATTCTTATTTGTAAGTGTCGAGCTTGTGTCCCGCTTACTACGCCCTGCCGTAGTGCGGCTGAAATAACTCTTTGCATCATTCATGCTGGCCTTGGACACTAAAAAAAGAAGCAACTAAAGTTGATATTCTTGGGTGATGAGCCAAAAAAACCACAAATACGCATCTGCGTTTTTTCTTATTGAGTTTTCCATGATTAGCACGTACGCACCATACAAAACCTACCTGAATACCCTGAAAAGGGCTGCAAACTGGTTGTCCGCAACCGCAATCCTTTTTCTATTTTTTTCACTACTTAGAACTCAGAGTAAAACTGCAACCCCATGCTAACAGAGTTTTTGAATGTAGGAAGTTTATTAAATATTTGACCCACCGACGTTGTGTGCAGACAGAGTAATTTTCTTGCTGTCTTTATAAAGTTTGAGAGGTGATTTCTGAGAGTTTGTTTTCTGCGTCAAGTTCTGCGCCAATTGATGTAAACATTAAATGACGCCGAATTGATGACAATAGAGATAATAACATAAGCACAGACACACTCACTCAAGCAATGCAGAATGAAAAACCACCTGCACAGGCTGCTTGCATTTCCCAACTGTACCAGGGGACGGAAACTCCCGGGATATTAGCCCCGAGAACGAACACTGGCAGCGCGGCAATCGGGTCGAAGTTATGCCACGGCAAGCACTCGCTTGCTTAACGGCCGTGTACCGCCTTTTCCTGCGCCCGCCATGTGCCCGCTCTTGCATGACATGGTGGTGATAACTGCTCATCGTTGCGGTGCATATCTATCAAGGTAAAAGGCGGCTGTTTACACTGCTAGTGAAAACTAAATATAACCTGTGGATAGCTGCGATATAATTCGAGGTTGACTGCGAAAATGGCGGTGCATTACAGCAAGGCATTCGTTTTTGCCATCGCTCACGCAAAGGAATCGCTGATAGAAGGCTTTACAATGATGATTTTTACTTCGTTACAACTTGGTGCAACATTTGGCCCGAAGAATTACAAATAAAGTTGGAATGTTTTCAAAATCACTGAATGCATCGCAGTGTTTATGCACATTATTCTGGAGGTTTGACGAAGTTACGCTTTTTTTTGTTAAAAAAATACTTTCATTGAATCTACCATAAAACTTTCAAAATACCCAGAATGCTGAACAAAAACAAATGGTTACGCACAAAACGTTCAGGAAAGTGCTGAGATGTCAGTGTACTTGAATCCCGTAAATATTTATTCTATATAGCTAGTCACCAGGAATTATGTGGCCGTATTTTTCGATTTGCGTGAACTGCTGGCCCGATCAAACGCCGCGTCACAAGCGCTAATGTTCAACTCCTGTTAAAGCACTACTGATAATAATCGTTCCCAAACCAAACGCTTCAAGTTCAAAATCACCGTTGTGAACGGTTTCGTAGGTGCTCTCGGTGGCGTGGCCTACATAATAATTAAATGGTTCTCACCTCAATGAGTCCCTGTCTGTTGTCAACTGTCATATACACATACAAGTTAATGAAGCTCATGTGCAATCAAATACAAGGAAAATAATTTACGACTGGGCTATCTAAACTGACACTGATGAGTGTAACATCGCCGTTCCTACGATGCTGCATATAGTTTCCGCAGTTAACTTCAACTTGTTTTTAGTAAGATGAAGCTCCGAAATCACTGCAAGAAAAGCCTGAAACTTCATGACGAGTGGTCGAGTACTTAAGAAAAACAAATAGAACAGCTGCGGTGGTATTCTGGGCCAGGTGCTTTAAAAGTACTTTGCGAGCCTCGATACTGCATCAGTTTTTTGCAGGTGTGTCTAGAACTTGGTACATGGGCAAAAAAAAAACCAGCAGGCAGACGGGCGCAGTTGTCCGATAGAAATAAAACATTCGAAAGTGAAGACATTATATATCTGAAAAAAAAAACTCGTGAAAAAACCAACCTAATAACAGAATTACGCCATCTTATGTTTGAAACCCAATATTTAAAATACTGGACACGCTTTCGAATGAATTTGTATCGAAGCAAAAAAAAAAAAAACGTTCTTGCTCTTCACTCCCGTCGGAATGGGGTTGCCGTGGCTGAGAATCGAACTCAATTTAGAATTTAGCACCGCGACAACACTCACCTTGTAAAAGTGTGTATACTGGAGCGCAGTAGCTGTTAGTGACTCTACTGAAGAAGAGTTTTTCGTCGTTTTATTAGGAGCATTATCAATGCTTATTTCGCCATTCATCTCAAGCTTGAGTCAAGCGAAAAGCAGAAGAAAGTACGATGCGAGCGCATGTTAAGTAGGCACGCTTCAGTACACGTCGAAGCATCCTTGCCGGGACGTCATCCAGGCATATCACCAGGTGGTGCCACTCCAATTTTTCGGAGCTAATAGCTTCCGTGGGGCGTGCTCTTGCATGTTATGGCTAACCTCCTTGTCCTTCCTCCTCCTTTTGCATGACGATACGCTGTGGCATCACCCCTTTCACCACTGCTTCTCCCCTCGGCCGGGTATACTGCTAGAAATCCTTCACAAACAAAAAATGTCCTTCGTGACGTCCCTTTCAAGATCTGCAAATAGAAGGAAAGGGTTTGAACCACAGGAAAAAGAAGATCTCCTCTCCCACTTCACATACAAGCGGAATGTATTTATGCATTCACGCTCTTTTGAAGGTCTTCTTCCTCTCGAGTGACACAGCTGTTCGCTAGTTTGATGGCCATTTGAAAATTGTCTTTGCTTGTTGTGAAGTTGACAAAGTGAAGGTATTCAATTAAACAAAACGCTATCAACGAAAGTAAAATTAGTCTTTTTTTCTTTCAATCAGTGGTGTCGTACAGAAAACGGAGACATACACGTCACATTAAGAGTCTATCTGCAAGAGCCGCTTCTCTCACAACTGATATATGCACATAATGAGCTAGCATCAATCTGAATATATACGAAACTATGTGATTAATACTAGCAATCATGAAGAGGACACATTGTTTTTAACTCAACCACGTCTGTTATGACGCGCACTTACTTCTTTAAGAATTTTAAGCGTGAAATAAGGCAGATGATCAAGAGAAAAAGAAAGCGTGAAGTGGTGAGATATCGTTGTCCACGTAATGCCACGGGCGACAATGTAAGTTGGCTAGCCTTTTCAAGACAGCAGCCCCATTGCAATGGCGAAGGAAAGTCAAGTTGTCAACGCGGTAGTTCCAGCGACTTCACGTAATACACGATAGACAAACACATTGAAATCATTATATGTATTTGACTGACTGTAATAGAAGTATATATCTGCGAAGTATGAAACTTGTTAAATGAATCTCCATGAAGAGGAAGGTAATTATAATTACTTCATGCTATTTGGCCTACATTGCAAAAAGTCAAAGTACAACAAACTTCGTAGCTAAATAATTACAAATTGATGCCTTTGAATGTATGAATTTTGCTGTAAGCGGGTAGCTCTGGTGAACACAAAAATATTTAAGCGGCACTTCCCATATGCCAATTTCAGTGAAGCTTACAGAGAACTTGGTTTGCGTATGCCCTCATGCAAAATGAATATACGAGGTAAATTTGGTAATCCAAACTTTGGTTTTTTTTTGTGCCCACGCGTTGACACTAGGAGACTTCAAAAATCTTGAAGTAACTGAAAATTTTTGGGTTTACACACCACAAAGCCGTGCAAAACATGTGATGCCTCCGTTATGCTATTTTCATCTAATGCATGGTCTACCTGCTCGATGTGGCTCACACGAAATGGCTCATCTTTCCGATATTCATACTGGGCACGCTAACACAGCGAGACAAAAGAGCACGATCAAACTTTTGATATCGCTGAGCGAGTGGTACGGGTGACTGGTACAAGCGCTAAACACCAGTATTTCCGCACTTCGACCAATTCAACATTCACATTACTAAGAATAAAAAGACTGATAAACAAAATATGACTTCTTCAACATTAAGTCCAGTTCATTTGTAAAAACTGATGAAAGACCATAAAGGAAACAATCACGTCCACTTAAATTCATTCAAACAGATCTAAGGATGCTCGGCAACAGCTAAGAACGAGCAGGTTCCGTAAAACAAAAACTACTTCTAAGATTGAAGGCCCAACTATACTTTTACAATCCGATATATGTAGGTACAAAATTTTTACCTGCCTTGCAGTACCATTAGAAGACTTAATTTTTGCCTCAATGTACAATGAATCTTCCTAGCGCACGCGTAAAGTTATGCTGAACTGCAAGTCACCATAAGTCACACTGGCCTTTTAGATAAGCCTACTCGATCTCACTTTTTGTATTATCCAACAACTAGCTGGCTTGCCGCCATGCCGGCTCCCCTATCACAAGTGAATAGGGAAACAATCCCCGGGCTGATTCTAAAGGCCGACGTATCGACCCCCCGAAACGCACCACGAAAGCGCAGCCGATTCAGTGTTGGTCCTTTTGGTGCCTCAGCGAAAGCCGGATGTCGTCGAAAGAACGAGAAACAAACAAGAGTTGATAGCAAAACCAAAATATATTACCAGTTAAGGCATAACAAACGAAACACAAACGTGCACACTTGGCAGTTATTAATTGGAATACAACTCAGAAGGTACTTCAATTTATGCAAAACCGCGCCCACAAACAACACTCACAATACAATGCAGTCTCATGCATTGACTAACCAAGACACATATAGAATAAAAGGTTCATCAAATGTCTTAAGTTTAAAGTTCTTCAAACAAAACTTGAATGCTTCTTTGCCAGGAAACACTCGCACAATATCCAGCACCAGCTGTCATCTAGCCGCGTTCGACGTTTATCTTCCAGGATACTCTCGCGTCGTGAAGTGACTGCACTAGAGTAACAAAATTCCTCCGCCAGTAACATGTCGGCCACTCATGCACTTCACCTGTAGATCACGTCTTCGTCAACTGACTGAAAACCACGCCCTTAATGAGAACTCTAGTGTATTTTTGACCATTTTCAGATAAAGCTGTTTTCAAATAGTATCGACCGTCCTGAAAAAGCTAGGGTGGATCATTTTGCGCAGGCACTCGTCAACATTTTTATTAAGCAATAAACGACGAGTCAAAACTTCAACCGGAACAGAGAGCTGCTCTGTCATCCATAGCGGGATTGGATAGCAAAACGAAAATCCATTAATGACGTCAAGAGATCCGCTACACTCCGCTACGGCTCGCCAGGGCGTAAACCTAGCTCACGTGCCTCTTCTGACGCGTGAAAACAAGCTGTCAATGTCATTTGACGTGGATTCAACTGTGCCAGCTCGTCTAAACTTACCAGTGACAAGTTTAGCAACGACTGCCGCTACTATCTGAGTGTGGAAGTATCGCTTTTCTATTTCAACTGGTGGACGCATGAAACATCTGTTATACCCCGAATCGATTTGCTCGTTGCGGAATATTGTAAAACCCGACGTTAACGATGCATTAACGCTGCATGTATCTGAGACACTGATCTGTGCTCATGTTGTCGTCGCCTCATAGAAGAAAGCGCAGGCTGCATCTATCGGCTCGGAAAGGAAGGGTTTCTGAAAACGAGTGGCCCCTCACGTCACATTCACAGGATGATCGACCCACGTTTACAAGTGTGATTCCAGAAGCAGCTACCGATTCTGAAATTTCTTGTCTAAAAACTTATGTCTTACGGTTGCATAATTCGGCACGTATAATTACGGTACTGACTAGAACACATGTAAAAAGTTTTCTTGCAATTGGCGAATATTGAGAAAAAAAAACAACGCCACAGTTCCTCTTTATACTCTTCCTCTGTCACTGTAAGGCACGGTTTCACGCGCTGGTGCAAAACGCATTTCCTCTCCTCATCGCCACACCCTCCGCTGCATCCTTCTATACAATCATTCTGGTTCCTCGAAGTTTCGTCTGCGCACCGCACAGCCAAGGCTGAGGAAGGGGCGGGACCTTTGTCGTAGCGTCACCCAACTTCGCAGCACTTCGCCAATTTCATTCGAGGTGTTCCTAGAGTTCGCTGGTGTTAGACCGTGGAGGTTGGTTGGCGTGGTGGCGGCGCTTCCGAGGGGGAGAGGATGCGCACGCGCGGAGACTTCTGATGCCTGTTTCGTTTCTTTGTTGCACCGGCTTCTGTCGCGTTCACACGGCACCTGTATTTTATTGATATGTGAGGTTTAACGTCCCAAAACCACTATATGATTATCAGAGACGCCGTAGTGGAGGGCTCCGGAAATTTGGCCACCTGGGGTTCTTTACCGTGCACCCAAATCTGAGCACACGGGCCTACAACATTTCCGCGTCCATCGGAAATGCAGCCGCCGCAGCCGGGATTCAATCCCGCGACCTGCGGGTCAGCAGCCGAGCACCTTATCTACTAGACCACCGCGGCGGGGCACGGCACCTGGTATGTCACAGTCGTTAGAAATGAGAGGCGCGCTCTTTTTCGAGTTCTCGTTTGGGACTGACGTAATTACACTTCACGCAAGGCCTTCCAGATGTGGGTATAAACGCGGATCTTTGGAGGCAGCAGTCGTTGCGGTAAAACTCGTTTTTTTTGCTGCCATGTGTTTCAAGATTTGCAAGAGCTTTGTGATATATTAAAATGACGTTGCAGAAGAAGGACCAGAAATAGGGGCAGTGCTGCTCGCCGAGCTTCAACCAACCATTGAAGGCCGAAGTAGAAAGTCAACAAGGTGGCGCAATCGGGAATCACGCCCCATGTCATGCACAAGAGAATAAAAAACACGGTTGCTCGTTGCACCTCCACCAATGACTTTAAAAGTGAATATTTGATTAGTTGTTACTCTTGCCAAATGCTATGTTCGCCGTGGTGAACGTACAGGTTACGGTACCCGGCTGCTCTGACCTGAGAGTAATGGATTCGATGCCGACGGCGACAGAAGCAACTCGGTGAAGGCGAAATGCTGGAGGCTCACATACAGTGTTCAACGCTCATGTCTATAACGACGAAGCATCGCGCACGGAACAGCACGAGCGACATCTGCAGTCGCAAATACGCCACATCTGAGCACGCACGACACCTGTGATGTGCCTGCCTTGCAGTTTCCACCCGTTTTTATATCCGCGGCCACGATGACTGCTTTGGCCGTAGAAGCGCTGTGAACTATATAGCACCAAAGAAAAAAGAATACAGCAAGTGCCAGTATAAGCGCCTTTTGAACTCTAAGCTTGTTCTCGCTTTGTGATATCATCTCACAGCGAGCACAATTCACTTAGCTTCTTTGATTGCTTTTGTTTTTTCGCTAAGTCATTCAGAGGGCTTTCGACGACCGGAATATCGGATTAGCCATTGCTGTCACTGACGTCACAGCAGCCGCGGCACCAATTTGATATTTTCGCGATAATTGGAAATTTGTCCGAGCAACGGTGACTGACTCGTCTGCCGAGCAGGCAACATTCCGCGTTCTTCTTAAAGGGTGTGATTTATGTTTGTTAATATACACACTTGTTAAGATGTGCTTTTTAAATGCGAAGCAGCTCATCAACCAGGCCTGTCTTCTGTAACGCTGTAGTCACCGCTGACGATGGCAATGATTCTGATCACGATCGAATGGCATAGCACAAGCAAGGTACCCCCTATACGTGATGATTATTATGGCGTTAATTTCAATGAATAATAATTAAACTCCAAGCCACAGTTTCTCTTTCTGCCCAACGGTACAGCACATGCAAGATACCTGCTATACGCCATGATGATGACAATGACACTGATTCCAAAAAAATGACTGAATTGTGCAATAAATGACGGTTCGATATGCTCTATAAAGCATTTTTTATGACTGGAAAACATCGACCACTGCCAGACGAACGTGTACAGACCTGGTCTTAGCTACCTTAAGGCTAGATCTGATACCACAAAACGAAATTCAGAGCCCGACACAACATATCAACTATGAATAATAAATATTGTAAGTAACTTTACACCAATCTGTCACTCATTTGCATGTGGGAGTGATCTATGTCAAAGTGACTTGTGGTAACATAAAACAATCCCACTGCTTCGCCCACTCATCATTATTCAATACGCGGATGTGTCGTGAATTTTTCTAATGAGTGAAGCACCCTAGGGTTGAATCAAGGCGTGTACCCCGCGTCGCCATTTATTTAGAGTTTATCTCGTTATGGCCGCTGCTGGGATCAGCCTTCAATGGCGACAGCAAGAAGCACTTGTGGCGCGTGCTCTCTCTCTCTTACTTTGTGACCATAGATGTGTGCCACTCGCCATGAACGAATTGAGGGCTTGAATAGCCGAAGCTGCGCCAAGGCGTCGTCAATCAAACCCGGAGCTGAAAGCTCGCGAAGAGGTGGTGAAACGTGAAGAAGGCAAGGGAAACCAGAAGCGGTGAGAGCTCGGGAAACCACGGTGCAATGGCAACGAAGATAAGTGGACCCGGACTGAGAGCTCTCGATGCTTAGGCGTGAAGGAAGAAGCGTACTCTACCCAACGTGAACGGCGTGGACGCCCGCTTCAAGGGTGAATTTCTCGACCATAAATTCACCCAAAGATCTCCGGTGCTTTGACCACTCGCCCTCATTTACTCCGGGGTTGTGCAGTGATTTTTCTTTTCTTCTGTTTTGCTATCCAAGATCTCTTTGCGAGATGGCCGATCTGGCATTGTGAGAGGTCATCTACAAATGAATATGAAACCCATTTTCTTTCCTCGACCGGCACTCGTGGTGGCAGGCTTACAGTATGTTAATCTGCAATACGCAAAATTCACTTCATGTCTCCCCGTGTGTAAGGAGTCTGAAAAAGAGTGTTTATTCGCGAATACACAGGCATGATGACCCAGTGAAAACGCATGCGCCTAGTCAAGTGAACGGCTAGCGCTTTCGCAATACTGATGCTCTGCCAGCGATAGCGTTCTACGCCGAAACATTTGTTTTACCTCGAAAACAACTTTCATATCAGACCCATTCGAAGATGTCTAGCCGCTGCTTCGTGAAGACCTCCTACTGAAGGCGGCCGACACTGATTCTGATATGTGACCAGCACGGTGGTGTCACAGAGCAAGCGGATGATCAGGCCTGAGAGATGGAATGGCCTTGCATGTGCACTGCGAGGATGTCGACAACAGGCTTTTAGATAGCACGAACATGCACACTGCCGTGCGCACGTGTAGTCTCCAAACCTGCGATAGCGAGTGTTAGTGAAGTATTTCATGTTTGGTTTTTGTTGTGCCAAATTTTGAAAAACTTCGTTATGCAGTTATGTGGCACCGATTATTTCGTAGGTACGAACGAAATACGAAAATTCGGTAGATCTCTCCTTGGGAATCGATGCTATACGAAGCATGCGAATGGAAGTTGACTGTATTGTGATTTTTTTTATTCAGCGACACGTTACGTAGTGGCGCTAGATATATGTACAAATGCACGCACAAACATACGTTAGACAGCCGCATTAGTTTTATATTACAGCTTCAAACTTCCGACGTTTGCGTATAACGTTCTAATGCTAACACAGTTTTACTTTCAAGCCCCGCCACGGTGGCTAAGGTACTCGGCTGCTGACCGACAGGTCACGGGATCAAATCTCGGCGTCGGCGGCTGCATTTTTGATGAAGGCAAAGATACTGTAGGCCCGTGTGCTCAGATTTTGGTGCACGTTAAAGAACTGCAGGTGGTGGAAATTTCTTGAGCCCTGCTCCACGGCGTCTCTTGTAATCATATGGTGCTTTTGGGACATTAAACCACATATATCAATAAATAACGTTTTCATTTAACAGTTGGTAATGTATCAGTATCAGAGTAAAAATCAGTTCACTTTGCAAGTCATCTTTCGTGCAATGCTTTACACATGGCAACACACCTGGGAATTGTGGTGAACATTGATGCTGCCTTGGTTGCCACTTTCGATCTTGAGAATGTATATGTACAGATGCTTTAATCAGGACATGTGAGAGCAAAATAGCCACGCATAGTCCCGAGTGTGAAACCATTAAAAGCAATGATCTGGTGACAACTAAACTGGAAAACCCGAAAAACGCACGACCGCATATGCGGTAAAATGATCGTGACTGCCACATTTGACTAGCTGCACCATGACGCACGTCGGCTGTGACGTCATTTCTTGCAACTGATAGGCCTCAGACGCATGGCCTTAACTACACCTGGCTCTGATTACTGGACGTATCTGTACGCAGAAAACACCGGTGGCGAGTAGCCTGAGGAAGCTTCATAAGCACATCTCGAAGAAGTGGTCTCGTAAGTCTCGTCAATGTGCTTTTTGGTGCTCTAGGCGCTGCAGATAAACTACGCTTGTCAAGAACCATTTTGCTCTTTCGACGGTTGACAGTGCGAAGCCTATCCACTATTTTCCGGACAGAACACTGGGGCGGCTCTTCAATCATCGCTAGACTCGGCCATGTCTGATGGGGATATACGTCGCCTGTGCAGATTCTTCTCCGAACTGACGTTAGAAGATATACACTCCTTGGAAATTCGCATGTTTCCGTTTCTCTCTGCAGTAGAAGGAATGGACCTCTTGCCAGCTGTTGACGCTGTCTTCCACCGTATCAAGGCTATCAACGATGAGCAGGAACGCCTACAATCTATGGCTACCTTCTACTCGTGGTTATTACCACGAACCAGACGCATCCCGTGGGTCCTCTATAGTGTTCACAGAATTTTATCAGTGTTGGACGCAACCCAAATTGGATTGACCCTTGCGCAAAAAGTGCGTTCACTTGACAACAGAGCCATTGAAGGTGTTTTCGATGAGGGAAGTGCCTGGTGCTTGACCATTCTGACCACGCAGGGGGCACTCTCTCCTGCCAACTACATCCCGGTATGCATTAACATATGGAATAGTTTGCCCTTCATAGCCATTCATATTCCGAAAGAGACTTGTCGCAATGACACTAACTGGCATTTATTGGAATTGATTGCGGGTTGCTTGGAGGAAAGCTTTCATGGCCTCTACTTCAGCTTGGAGGCAGCTCTTGATGCGGCATCTACGAGCTCATGAAACTGAAGTGTATGGCTTCTGTTGGACTTAACGAGACCTCAAGACAAGAACTTCAAGATCGCTGACATGCTTTTATACTCCATAGCAGTTGGTAAGGACAATGCGTCAGAGCTGTGCCAATACTTCGCATTTGACTTTAGCGCAGTCTGACTTCTCTTGTTTCATTTATAGCACATCGATGCCATCGTTCTTTCATCTGGTTGCATGCAAGGCTTCGGCGCATTCTTGTCTGAGCAATACGATCCCACCACATCTTTTTTTAGTAAAAATATTCACATGGGCCTGACTTGGTGCAAAATGTTAGTAGGACGCAGCGCTAGCTACACTTGGCGATGGCGTGTTTTTATTTTTTGTTGCTATTTGTACTTCTATGTCGCTTAAGTTCTGGAGTGTCAGAGACTTCTTCCTGGTTTGGCAGAGCGTCTTTTCGTGATGCTTTTTGCAGCGTTCTGCGCGCCTGTTCGTTCTAGCTGTAGTTGTTGCAACGCACTCCATTCTCCTCTACAATGCCCCTAATGTTGCCTGCTACCTGACTTCCGCCATGCTGCCCGCATTCAGCTTTGGTTGGATGGTCGACGGAGCGGAAAATGGTTCGGCATTTCGCATCGTTACTTTTCTCTTCTTCGTCTATAGTTAGTCACATCATATCACGTCTGCTGGTAGCAAGTTTATGGGTAAGCAGACGAACGTGCATCTTTGTGCCCACTCTGACCTAAGTGACCACGCGAAATATTTCATTAGGTCAGCTGTCGCATCGGTGTCGTTGCTAATTCTTTGTTTCCCTTTTACTGTCGTGACTTGAATAAGTTGCTGCGTGCGTGGTGTTGATGATCGATAATCTGATGCCTTGTGATCGTCACTGCAAGATGTGTGCTCATCGTCAACACGCAAGCACTACACTTTAAGTCAAAACTACCCGAAAAAGGAGTAACGGAGCCCAATAGGCATGTGCAATGAACGGATAGACCGTTGAGGAGGAACCACAGAGGAAAGCGTGCCGCGTGCAAACCACTTAGT